CCAATAAGAAAAATGACTGCAGAATATAAATGGTCAAATACAATAATTTTTGCATAGAAATCTGTAAAACATCTTATAAAATGGAACAAAAAAATAATGTTTAAACATCTTATATAATGGGATGGAAGGAGTACATTTTATAAAAATTGATAAAAATTATTTGTATTCCATGGAGGGAGTAGCATTTTAAAAACTGATTTGTTATTGCATCATTTACCAACAACTGATGCTAAATTTGAGATTGTGATAAAATCGATTAAACTACTCAATAAATATTTTCAACAAGAGTAGAATTTATCAACCAACCTATATTTTATTTTTACTAACAAAATATCAATGTCACTTTAGGAAAACATAAACATATCTTAAAAAATTCAGAGCCTAAAATTTGGGTTAATATATCTATAAGCGAATTGCCCATACTTATCCTATGAAATTTGCACATTGGCTATTTTGCACAGTTCATGGAAGAATTAATCACACTAAAAACATTAGAATGCATCAATAAAGATGGTCCGTAATACGATTCCACAAGTTAGAAGGAAGATGGAGTAATATATATTGATGTGTGGCTCAACTAGAAGGAAGATGCAGTAATATACCAAACCTCCCCGAACTCAAATGGTTGAAATAGATTTTGATAGACTTGAATCAGATATTGTATTAACATAAATGCTTTATTCAAATTTAATATTACACATTAAGATAGAATGTAAATGATACAAGTGACATGATTGTGGTTGATGTGTCAACGAAATGGCGAATTCATAGTGGACCAGTTGTTTTTTGTTTTTTTTGCTAAACAATGTGGACCAGTTGTTCTCACGTAATCTTTGCTACGTAAACATATATAAGTGTTGGATCTACTTTTCGTGTGACATAAAAATATGTTGTAGTAAAGAAAAAATATGGTTGGTGCCTATAATACACCGATGTTGTTAGCTATTTCCTCTCAAGTCTCAACTATTCTTCTGGTATTTACAAATATGTATATGTGATTTTTAGATGTCGTTCTCTATTTATTTATTACTATTATCTTTGGCTTCGTGGTACTTTATTATTTTTGAA